TCTACGAAAGGCAGACAGAAGGACAACAATGTAGGAGTTAATTTGCAGAGAAATAGAGATTTTAGTAGGAATATGGAATTAGGGAAAGGGATGCCTCTCAGAAAATAAGTCTGGAGGAATCTGCATGGCTATGAGGAGAATATCTGTTTTCTGAGAGAACATGATAGAAGATTAATATTTATGTTTAATTCCATGTAGAGGGTGACTCCCAGCTGACATCTTGGCTTTAGCTATGCTGTACTTTGTCATCATTACTTACAGATTATGATTTTTAAAATATTTGAATAATGTGCTTTTCCTTAAAGTTTGTTTCTCCCACAGAACTGTAATCTTCCTAAGTGCAAGGTTCAGGTTTCTTTCATTCATTGTTATACAGGTTGAGAGTCCCCAGTCTGAAAATCTGCAATCCAATATGTTCCCAATACTGAAACTTTCTGAGCACTAACATGTCACCACAATTAGAAAATTCCTCACCTGATCTCTTGTGACAGGTTGCATATATTATAAAAAAATTGTATAAAATTACTTTCAGGCAATGTGTATAAGATGTATAGAAACATAAATGAATTTTGTGTTTAGACTTGGGTCCCAATCTCATTATGTATATGGGGATATTCCCAAATCCAAAAAAAAAAAAAAAAATTTCAAAAGGACTTCTGATCCCAAGAGATATGTAAAAGGGTTATTTAGCCTGTAATATCATCAATATCATCATCAAAACCAATTTCTCTTATACACTAGGTGTTCAGTAAATATTTGTTTGTGAAGAAATAATTATCTCAAGAGGACTGTATATATTTTAGGGCATAGAGTGTGGCTTATGATCTTTTCATCTCAATCTATCACAGTGCCACACAGAGTTAGGTTTTTAAAATGTTTACTCTTGATGAAAATTGCTACCATTTATTGAGAAGTTACCATAGGCTACATGATTAAGTGTTTCATATGTTTGATCTAATCTGATAATCAAAACCACTGTTAGTTATAGGAACTATTCTTCCCATTTTCCAAATTAGGTAATGGAAATACAGAGATGTTAAGTAAATTAATCTAAATCATGTAATCTGTAAATAATGGTATCAAGATTCTAACCCAAGCCTGTTTAAAACCTGTGCTTTTGTTTTGTCAAGTAGTGAACTAGTTTTCTTTGGAACTATTGTAATTCACTGGTGTTTGCTGAGCACGCCTCATTTTAAGCTGAATTTTTTTAAACCAGCATTATGAGAATGTTTATTTTGACAAATACATGCAGTATAATGAATGTCACCAGAAGTTTTAAAAAGTAGGTAAAAACAAATATGTTTACAAATTATCATAGAAACAGTACAAAAGAAGATTAAAATTCTCAGTGAGGAAAAAACAAAATGTGCCCAATCACATAAAGGCTCTTCCTTTGCAAGAAATGGGGATAAATCTGAAGACCCATTTTGGTTTTGCTGCTGAAAAATGTACTTAGAAAAAAATGTACTTAGATAAAGACTTAAATGTAAGACCTAATACCATAAAAACCCTAGAAGAAAACCTAGGTAATACCATTCAGGACATAGGCATGGGCAAGGACTTCATGTCTAAAACACCAAAAGCAACGGCAACAAAAGCCAAAATTGACAAATGGGATCTCATTAAACTAAAGAGCTCTGCACAGCAAAAGAAACTACCATCAGAGTGAACAGGCAACCTACAGAATGGGAGAAAATTTTTGCAATGTACTCATCTGACAAAGGGCTAATATCCAGAACCTACAAAGAACTCAAACAAACTTACAAGACAAAAACAAACAACCCCATCAAAAAGTGGGCTAAGGATATGAACAGATATTTCTCAAAAGAAGACATTTATACAGCCAACAGACACATGAAAAAATGCTCATCATCACTGGCCATCAGAGAAATGCAAATCAAAACCACAATGAGATACCATCTCACACCAGTTAGAATGGCAATCATTAAAAAGTCAGGAAACAACAGGTGCTGGAGAGGATGTGGAGAAATAGGAACACTTTTACACTGTTGGTGGGATTGTAAACTAGTTCAACCATTATGGAAAACAGTATGGCGATTCCTCAAGGATCTAGAACTAGAAGTACCATATGACCCAGCCATCCCATTACTGGGGATATACCCAAAGGATTATAAATCATGCTGCTATAAAGACACATGCACACGTATGTTTATTGCGGCACTATTCACAATAGCAAAGACTTGGAATCAATCCAAATGTCCATCAGTGACAGACTGGATTAAGAAAATGTGGCACATATACACCATGGAATACTATGCAGCCATAAAAAAGGATGAGTTTGTGTCCTTTGTAGGGACATGGATGCAGCTGGAAACCATCATTCTCAGCAAACTATCACAAGAACAGAAAACCAAACACCGCATGTTCTCACTCATAGGTGGGAACTGAACAATGAGAACACTTGGACTCAGGAAGGGGAACATCACACACTGGGGCCTATCATGGGGGCGGGGGAGGGATTGCGTTGGGAGTTATACCTGATGTAAATGACAAGTTGATGGGTGCTGACGAGTTGATGGGTGCAGCACACCAACATGGCACAAGTATACATATGTAACAAACCTGCACGTTATGCACATGTACCCTAGAACTTAAAGTATAATAATAATAATAAAGAAAGGAAAAAAATGTACTTAGAAATAATGTACTTAGAAAAAAATGTACTTAGGAAAACCAGTTGCGGTCAAACGTTGTAAGCCCACTGCCTGTACCTGCCTATTTTTGATCTGAGAAAAGTTGATTACCACAGTGCAAGACAGAGCTGAGGATAGGACAACCAGGCGTTCTCCATCCAAATTCCATCATCCTACATTAATCTTTAAGTAAAAGCAGAAGAAAAGCAAGCCCTTAGTGAGGTCTCAACTCTGTAGAGAAGTGACTGGATCTCCTCCATTGTAGTGCTCAAAATCGTTTATTTTTTGGCCAGCAGAAAAACTCTGCAGATCAACTGCCTTTAGCAAACGTCAGCTGCCTCGCAGCCTTCATGAGCAGAATCTGACACTGATCAACAGTCCTATCAGAAACTCAAGGTCTGTGTGATGTGGCAACTGTCGGCTATACCTGGAAGGCCCTTGAGAACATGAGAGGTAAAGGAAAGCACCAGGGTTTGCCCATTACCACATGTAATATGGAGATAAGGTCAGGGAAAGAGATGATTATGAAGCAAAACCAAATCACCTACTGCACAATTTGACTTATATCTGGCTCTGCTTGGTCATACAAGGTAGGTGGTGGGGTATGGGGCACATAACTACGTCCTGTGGAAGAGTTTGACCCTAATGTGTGCTCTATTTATACTAGTTGTGCACTTCTTTCTTTTAGCCAAGACTGACTTACAATGGGATTTGTACATGCAGATATTCAGAAAGATACAGAAATTAAAGTTAGAAGAAAGAAGAAGGAAAACCAACTCAACAAGCTAAAAGCAAAGGCATGTATCTAATAGGAACCTTGACTACACCTCATTGGAATCTCAATCCTTACATGAGATTTTCTATTTACAGTTGATAGCTCATGTAGCACACAAGAGCGGAACATTATTAAACTGAAATGAATGTCCTATATAGCTGTAAAGATTCCAGTTCTAGAAATAATCAGAGTAGTTTATAGGGGTTGTTAATAATAGGCCATAGCCAGGGAATACTATTAAGCGAAATGATATCTTTCTGGAATTTTGAAAGATATTTGGGATAAGAAACCTTCTTTAAAAGCTGTGTAAAATTATGCAAAAAATTTAAAACCTGATTGTAGAGAAATTGTTGTTGTCAGTGGGCGATTGAATACATAGTGGTAAAAAATATTTTATTCCTGATAATTAGTCCAAAAAAACGTAATTTTACCAGCATAGATAAAATCTTTCAATAGCTCAAAAGTTTCTACAGCTCTCTGTAATGCAAAATTATCTACCAGCAGGCAGAACCAGCACAATCTGACTGACATGCGGCACTATAAACTGGTAATCTGATTAGAAGAATAGTAGTTCTGAATTAATTAACCCTTAAGTGGTTTTTTTTTTTTTTTTAATTAGATTTTCAGTTTCCCGGTCTTTTAGTTGTCTTCATGATTATGGACTTTCAGCGCCACCCAGTGGAGAAACTCATACAATTTGGAATTCTTTAAAATAGTAACGTTCTTTAAAGTCTCATTATTTAATACATAACCTCATGAGCATCTGGATGAAATCTCATAATGGGAAAATTACTTTTTTTTTTTCATTTTTTTCCTGCAGCCTAGGAAGCCAGTAGGACACTGTTTGGGCACCCTAGAGGAAACTCCTGAGTGCACTTCTGCAGGCAGCCATATGGTTAGAATCAGCGGGTTCACCCAGTGCCAGCTTACAACAACGGGCGTGTATATGAATAGCATGCAAGCAATCAGACTAGCTATAGGTTTCATATACTCCCTCTGTATAGGGTGCTTTTTACACCTTATGGAAAAGGTAAGTTAGACAAGAACTAATATTTTTCTCCCCAGTAAGGCAGCAGGACTGCCGTTAAAGTGATGTCAGAGTTTCCATTTCAGTTCCTTATTTTCAATGCTTTAGCCCTCTGCCGTAAACATTAACTCTATGAAAAAAATACATACTCACTTATATTGCATCTCAGGCCAGGAGAACATTCTTATTATTAAATAAATGGTCTTGAAAAGAAATTAGATTGAGCATCATAAAATTCTATTTTTAGGGGAGGTGGAACCAACACAGGGGAGAATGAGGGATTTTTTTTTTTTTTTTGTAAACTGTAATGTGTTTTCTTTCAGAGGTTTGAGAAGAAAACAGCAAGAGGAGTCAGGATATAGAAATTTTGCCCAACCTTGCCTAAAAGAGCATATCTAGTTATTCTGATTATTATAATGCTACGCAAGGAGTTTATTCTGTAAAAATCAGGTCAAAGCAGCATTCCCCAAACCTGCCCTCCTAAATAACACAAACAGGTAATTTAGGAAATATTTTTGAGTAAACAAGCAAATGCTCCCCTCACCCTGTCCGGTGGTACTCCAGCTCTCAGAGTCACGACTCAGGCAGATTGAGGTTTCTGTGGTATGGCCTCTCCCCATGCAGTCAGTACCTGTTACCATGATAAAAAAGCATGCCAGTCTTCCTTGTGGTCTGAAAAGTTCTAGTTCTGAGTACTCAATTCATTTGGATAAAACAGATTTTTTTAAGATTAAAAAAAAAAAACTCAGCTGTCTGATCAAGGCCATATTTTTCTTTTGTATGATCTGCATTCCCTGTGTAAAAAGGAGTTGGTAGTAACCTCAGATCTCTGCCTCAAAGGTTAAAAGAAAAGGACAAAGAAAACAAGGAGGAGGAAGAGAATGATAGGAAGAGGAGGAAGATGAGAGAAAAGAGAAAGAAAGCAAGAAAAAGAGAAAAAAGAAAAAGAAAGGAGAAAGGAAGGAAAGAAAGAAAGAAAGAAAGAAAGAAAGAAAAAAAGAAAGAAAGAAAGAAAGAAAGAAAGAAAGAAAGAAAGAAAGAAAGAAAGAAAGAAGAAAGAACAGAAAGAACAGAAAGAAAAAGAAAAGAAAGAAAAGGAAGGAAGGAAGGAAGGGAGGGAGGGAGGGAGGGAGGGAGGGAGGGAGGGAGGGAAGGAAAGAAAGAAGAAAAAGGAGAAAAGAAAAGGAAAGGAAAAGAAAGAAAGAAAGAAAAGAAAACATCTTAAGAATTTAATATTAGGTCAAAAAAAATTGTGGTTTTGGCATAAAAACTGCCCTTTTAACTTCTGAAACCATTTTTTTTCTGGTTTGGAAAAGAAATAGAGCAGTTTTGTGATGCAAGGATTCATAGAGAAGGTTTTCTTGGTATTCTGGTTGGATTTATTTCAACTACTATTTAGAAAGAGAGAATATTTGTTATGTGTTTAAGTTGTTTTATAGTATTAGGATCATTCCATGAGAAGACTAAAGCGATTATAAGAATATTGTCTAACTTGCTGTCCATCCCCATCTCAATTTCACGAATACCAAAGTACCAGACGTAAATTTAAATTTCCTGAATTGTGAAGAAGGATGTTAGCCATGGTGTCATCTGTATTTTTTCCTTATGTCTCTGTATATCCTTGTAACCTCCGTGAGGCTTATAGATGCTTTACATTTTTAAAGTATATTATGTCTTTTTATATTATTTACTTCTCTCATCTTTCTAAGACATTAAGAACTACAAAATTTGGGGTCATAAGAATGAGGGCTATACAGGAAGATTAATTCAAGGCTTCAGATTCAGGGCAGGCAGTTTAGCACACAACACTTATTATCATCTCCCTGAACCTCAGACGTTATCAGTCTGCAAGAGAAATTTAATCCTGAACATAAATTGCATTTCCTAAAAAAACATAATCTTGCCTTAAGACACCCACCTCCCTGATTACAGGGAATGTCTGTGTTTACACATTTGTACAGAGCATGCTGACTGTATTAGTGTCCTAGGAAACAAACTGTGTGCTGCTTGCAGACCTGCTGCAAGCACTAAGGAGAGAAAGAAAAAGAAATTTTGAAATCAGACCCCCGATCTCCAACTCCTTTCAAATTCTTGAAGCACATTAGCTTTACTACTGCATGATGTACACGGTAGTATTTCTTCTAATGAAATCTGACTAAAAGTTTAAATGAGTTTAATGCATGAAATGTATAAATAAAATGTGGCCTTGATTAAATTTAGACTTGATACATAACTTAAATGGGTAGCCCAAGAATAGCATTGGTATCATGTGTCTAGACCTTTTCAGGCTTTGCAAAAGTAGTTTGGATTTTATCAGTTAGTGTAGAGCACTTTCTATCAGAGGCACAGTATATGTAAAAAGCTGAAATATGCAAAAGTACTGTAGAGAAAAGTGAGTGTAATTGAAAAGAAGTGACTGAGAAAATAACATAAGATATTAATAGGTGACGGTGGAGTGGAATTTTGGTGTTGATTTGCAAAGAGCAATTTCCACAGGTAAAACATTCTATTTGCTTTTTCTTCTGGATTTATTTTCATGACTTTGGAAAAATATCTTAATTTCATGAAGCCTCAGTTTTCCCCAGTCGTCGATCCAGATGCCTCATTTGCCTGCTTTCTAGTTTGTTGGAAGGATTAGAATGAGAAGACAAATACAAAAGAATTTGAATTCTATACAGTTCTTACAAATCTAAGGCATTATCATTGTAATAATTTCAGCTATATATCGAATACACTAGCTTTTCAGTGTATTGAAAATACACAGTTGGCTTTTTTCTTAAGGATTTATCCAAAAATTCTACAAGACCAAATCCATTACTCATATAAAACTCTTTGACCACATGACACAGAAAAGAGGCCTTTTCAGAAATGAACTTTTCAGTTAGTGTATTAGATATGTAACCCATTATTTGTAACAGGGAGGGCTAAGCCTATTGGGCATATTAAATGGATTTTGAAAACAGCTCTTGGGAAACTACATAAATTAGTAGTAAAATGTATGGTCTTTGAAGTCAGCCATCCTCAGCTTCAATCCTGCCTCTGCTACTTACTTGCTGTAAGTATCACAGCTGTACATTTGAGAATGTTACTATATCTTCATAAACTGCTTTTATATCATTTATTAAATGGAGATAAAAATACCTGCTTAATGGTTTTGCTGTGATGATTAAATAATATGATATGTGGTGAAGTTTTAACTCATCCCTTGCATTCAATAGTAGCTATTCCAAAAAATTCTACTTTTTTAGTGTTAAATATACATATATACACATATATATACATACACACACACACACACCACAAAAATACTAAAATATGCATTTCAAGGCAATCACACCCATAAATAAAAAGGAATGTATTCTACTTCAAAAGGTCAAAGAGTTATTCCTTACTGACAGTTTAAAAATGGAAGACCGGTACTGAAGTCTCCCAAACTGAAGACAGAGAGGGGGATAAATGAAACATTGCAACATAAGGACAGTGCAGGATGGAGTGGCAGAAGTTTCTCTTAAACCTCCTCAGGAGAAATGGTTGATGATTTTAGGCTAACCCACAGGCAAACTCTGTTTTTGTTTTGTTTTTATTTTTTCTGTTCTAAAGATTGCACAGTGCCACTCAGTTTTAGGCATCTAACAGAATGAAACCAGGTGAGTTTGAGCCAATTTTGCCTTTCATTTTTCAACTTTGTTTATTTCTTTACTTGAACCACAACATTCTGAGATCTCACAAGAAAATCTGTTTCTGTGACATTTTCAGCCTGATTTCCAAACCAGAGAAAGAGCTTCAGATAAACTTGGGCTCGTTTCAAAAAAGCATCTGAGATTCTGGATGTTTATTTGAAGCAATCTGGACTCCCCTGACCTTTAGAGATTCCCCCACCACCGATAAAGAGAGCCTACAATGAATTTACTGTTCAAGGGTCTAGTGCTTTAGTTTCTGAATGGATAAAAATCCCATTGGTTTCAGGGAAAGTTGTTTCCAAACACATTCAGTGGAATCAAGCCTTAAGCAGATATATCGATGCCCTCCATTTAGGAAAATATATCAACCAGTCAGTGCCCTAGTTCAGAAAACCTGTAATAGATTATGTATTCAATATGCTTTATGAGTTTGAGAAATATTCCTAGGTTGACACCAATAAGAAGAGGCTCTTGTTGAAGTAGGTGGAGGGTTTAATATTTCCTGGAGCACTATAGAAAAATTCAGACCGAACTGCTCTCTCCTATACAGAGCTTCCTTTAACATCAATGTGGAACTTTAGAAAGTATGCCAATCCTCCCCACGTTCTTGAACTTTTTCAAAAACTGAGTTCTGCCACTTTTGAAACGATGAACACTGAGAAATTGGATTTGAAACCACAGCATTAAATGCTTAAAATCCGATCCTTCTGTCAGGACCTGGGATAAATTAAACTGATGTACATTATTTTTAAAGAAAGGAAAAAAATATGGGAAGCGGGTTTTGAACCCTGAAGGCATAGAACAAAACAAGTTATGCAGGTGATACAAACCATCTTAGTTCATTCCTATAATGGCTTTCTACTTCCATATGGTGGCCCATACTGGAAGTAATTCTTAGGAAAACATGTTTGTATGTGATAAATAAAACATTATTTTAGAGGTTTCTGTTTTTATTTCCAGAGATTGCTATTTTTGTATTTGGGGCTCAGACTGCTGTTTAATTTCTTTTTTTTAACTTTGCTATTTGAGTTTATTTTTTCAAAGAGAGAGTGCTAGAGAATGTGTACAGATGATAAGGGTATAAGGTGAACAATTATCAAGTGTTTGCATCAGATGAATTCAGTGCAGCTGGATGATGTGTATTAGAATTTAATCAAAGCTTTAGGAATGTAAACATAAAATGGGTTGAGTTTCACTTTAGCATATTCCAAACTTGTTAATAAGTTATTTTACTAATACTGCATATATTTTATTAACATCTAACTCTCAAATAATAGCATTAGTCTAAAGATAAATACACAGTTAACAGTAAAAGCCTCTAGTTTATTAATTTTGGTTGTTGTCAGTGGAATAATTTAATTTCATAATAGGTGCAAAATTGATTGAAAGCTTCCCAATTTAGAGAACTCTTGAAAAAATGAGTTTCTTGATAATGATTCAAGCAGTAATAAGAAAAGCTCAAATATCAGAAGAGACCCACCATAGATAACCATCATTCAAGTATTTTAAAAATCTAACAATATAAGTTCACTACACATATTTCTGCCAAAGAGCATGGCTTTTTTCTCTGTTATAGATCATTCTGGTATAAAGTATAAACTTGTTTTCAGATCCTGGATATTTGCAAAGCAGGAATGAGAAGAAAGCGGATGTCTATCAAATTTTCACTTTTGAAAAAGTTGCATGTGTACATATATACCTACATTATTACTATAGACAGCATCATTTGTCAGTCACATTATAATTACTTAAATGGACTTTGAGATTTACTGTGGATTTTTTAATATCTTCAGAAATTTCACTTAAAAAATTTGCTATTTTGTTTAATAAAATAATTAAAATGAATTATCTGCATATAATAGATTTTTAAAAGTAAAAAGACATTGCAGAATAAGACATAAGTGTCCCCGTAGACTACAGAATATTTAGAACTAGGTGCATTTAAATTGAA